ATTGGAAGCTGGAGGGCAAACGACAAAACCATGTTGGCATCCTTGCAAGTTACAGGGACGAAACAAAGAGAGGCGATAGATTGCTGCAGGGTCTGCAAGTCCCATCTTCTTGTTTATTTTGACTCATGTTTTCGTTCTTCTTCGGCCCACATTTCGGCGATTGGTTCAATGTGAGGTCTGAGCCAATTGGTGGCTCTTGGCATGGCTCTCTTGGCAGTGTAGTCGACAATGAATTTCGGCAGTAGTGACGATACCTTTAGACTGCAGAGCAACCAAACACGGGTATACTCCTGATACGAAAAGAGCGCATTTCGTCAGTTAGTTTTGTGTCCAACAAATTAAAAAAAATCTGTTCAAAACAGATAATGATAATACAATCTTACCTCTCCCCGTCCGTCAATATGGGATTCTGTGTACCAGATTCCCTTCGCACTTTGCAAGACCATATTGGTACACTCGGGATCCAAGTTGAACACCATGTAATGTCCATCGGGATGAGGACGATAATTGTGAATGGCAGCAATGTTCAATCGAAACTTGGAGAGACAAAAGGCGGCTCGTGTCACACTGGGTATTCCGTAGTGTCGTATTTGTCGATTGGTTCCTGCCGGTACGGGTTTTTCGGCGTGATATCCGGATTTCAATTTGTTGCTGGTAAACATTTCCATGGATCGTACCGTTTTGATGAGTTCGGGGTAGTTTTCAAAGTCCAAGAGACATTCCCAAATGATAAAGGGCGGTGCTTTGACATCCATGACGACATAACCGGATCCTTCGCGTCCCATTTTGGACTGTTCTTGGACGCGCTCTCCCGCCAACAATTGTGCTTCTTGTTCGGGAGTGAGTTTGGGGAGTGTAAAGGGAAGAGGCTCGGGAGGTACCGTGGGAACATCGGCTCGCAGTCCGTCCACGACGGTCGAGTTCCCGCGAGAGTTGCTGCTGCTAGTTTTACCGTGCACTTCGAGATCCACCACAGCCGCCGCCCTCAGTTTACTGGCACTGGTGGCACTAGGATTCACCACCACTCCATTGCTCTTGCTGCTACCATTCGGAGCGGCTGCTGCTCCATTGACTGGTTTACCATTGGCTTTGCCATTTCTTGCCTTGATGACCAGATCGCTTTCTTCCGACAATCCTCCAATGGATGCGACTTCGGCCACCCAAAGGCCTGCCGGTTCCTCTTCCGACGAGTTTTGAATGCCCGTTCGAGACTTGGCCTTTTTCAAGACGGCTTTCACACGACTTCTGACTCCCAACGCACTGGACTTTTCTCCCGGTCGAGACCATGTGGTCTTTTCAGCGGTATCCGACTCACCCGATGAGAGTTTGCTGCCTCGACCAAACCGTTGAAAGGCCGATCGAACCCGCCGTCGTACTTTCAGGGGACTAGATCGTTCCTCGGAAGGGGACCAAAAGGATCCCTTCTTGTTCTTGTCGTCAAAAGGATTCGGTTGCAAGGAAGCATATCGTCGAGTGGTGATGATACCCACAGACGGAGGAGTGGTGCTAGTAGGAGTTCTCGTCGTCAATGGTCGGATACTTCGAGTGTTGTGAGTGATCAGGGCATTTGCCAGTGACTGCTGACTCAGCAACAGTGCTGCTGATATTAAGACAAGGTTGAAGCGCTGTATTGGCGTTATCATCATGCTCATGGTGCTGGTTTTTCTTGTGCTATACTATTTGGATTCTCGTTGGAGCCTAGGAAGGACTGGAGAGAATAACTTGTGTGGACTGATGATAAGGTATATACCCTCTGTTCTGCTTTTCTGATGGCTGATGTGTGGAGGAATGACTACTGGTAGCTAGTAGAATCGAATGCTATCGGCCTATCCAGAACTTGTGTGTGGCAATTCCGCGTGGTCTGACCGTGGGCATGCATGCAAGCAAGCTTGGTAGCCAGTGATTGTTAATGATAAAGGGCTCGGTCAGTAGTCATGCACTAATAAAGAGGTAGGTCATCAACAGTGATGAGTAAGTCGGTGCTCCATGCATTAGAATGCTGATGGTCCGTCCGAAGGAAGATTCGATACTCACTCAGCAACAGAGAATACCGTAATGCAGAAGAATAAGACGGAATTGAACACATCATTCACAAAGACAGTGCCTCGTCATCAAGGCCACCTGTTGTTGCATCAGCCTGCATCTTGTCACAGCGATAAAAGTGCGTTCCTTTCCCACTATCCACGCGGAACACGTACTTGAACTTGGACTCACGGATCGCTAAATAAGGTTAGAGATTAAAAAGTACCCGTAAGTAGAGGCGGGAACATGACTCGACTCCATCAACCTCGCGTTTGAGAACGCTTTCCCGCTACCAATAGCTATCATAGACTAGCTAGAGTACGTACCGGTAGCTCGGTTTCAGCCCACAACAAATAACTATTGCCCACAGATCTCTGCTACTGGTATTGACTACATCGTACGGTATCCTTCCTCAGGCTACCTTTCATAAAAAGATCGAGCCATAGTACTGTACCGATACACCAGCTTGAGTGAAGCTCATAAGCTCACGAGCTCACAACTGCAGCCAACGGGCTCTAAAACACATCAGGCTCTGCTACCGGTACAGTACATCAACTAGAGCTAGCTACATGGGTATCAGACTGTCACTCGTTCCTTCCTCCCAGGTCAGGCTACCTTTACCTCGGCAGGTAAACTGCCTGAGTTCTCAACCCCTTTAATGCTATTTCCTATTTCCTATTTCCTATTTTCTATTTCCTATTTCCTATTTCCTATTTCCTATTTTCTATTTCCTATTTCCTATTTCCTATTCCGGTGAAGCCAAAGTATAAGGATAGAGATATTCATAAGCCAACAAAACTGAACATTGATGGTTCAATACAAGTTAGGGGTAGGAATAAATCATTAATATTTAATAAGGTTAGTGCAATCAGCACAACAGCACAATAAGCCAGCAGGAGTTGTAAAGGTTAGAGTTACAATAAGGGAATGGCAGCTGGTAAATTATAGAGTAGCGGGCGGCAACACACGACGTAGTCGGGTGTTGTCGCCAGGGCTAGCTTAATAAAGAAGGTTGCAATGAGGGAATGAATGATACCGGGCGGCAACACACGACGTAGTCGGGTGTTGTCGCCAGGGCTGGCTTCAAAGATGGGTGCAATCTCGAACATGATCCTCCTTCTTCTATCTGTCTTTCTGCCGAGGTATCGCAGCTCCCGCTGACTTATATCAAATAAATAAATTCTTAGACTGGAAATGTTAAGGTTAGAGCTTTGATCCAGGGCAGTAAGAGTCTTGCGGGAACATGACTCAGTCAACCTCGCGTTTCGGAACGCTTTCAAGGCTCCGGAAGCTCACAATTGGAAAAGGATGGAAAAGCAAAACTCATCTCTCCTACCGGTATGGACGAAGGTATCCGTATCGTTGCTCCCCCAGGCTGCCTTTCATAGATCTGCTGGAATCCGAAATCCTGAATCGATTTGAAGGAGAGAAATCATTGATTCTTTTACGATTTTGTTGGACGAGAAAACGTTTTCCCTTTCGGCTGTAGTGCATGCATACATACTGTGATTACTCGGAGGATATTGTTACTAACTAGACTACTGAATTCAAGTCGTTGCAACAAACCACTAGCTCGATGCTCCGTCCTACCGTCCCGTTACGCAGTAGAGGTTCTTCACTGGCTGGGACGCCTCCAGAACAAAAAACTCTTCCTGTCAATATCAGTTAGTTGTTGCTCTTGCTTGCCAAAGCTCTTGGACACAGTTATTTGTTCTTTTGCTAATTGTCATTGATACCGATGGTGTTGTCGGCATTTTCTTCGCTGCAATAATATACATTCGGTAGAAATTGCTGCCCACGGGTTTTTCCAAAAAGAAGCAGTGAAATCCACCAGTCACTTAGTTGTTGCTGCTCGAAGCAAGCAAGAAAGGAAGCAAGCAAGTAAGGAGGCAAGCAACCAAAGCCAACACTTTTTGAATTTTTCCTGAGTGCCCTTTGTCTCTGAGAGCATCGCTCCCGGAACCTTCATGGATGGCAAAAGTCGAAGCAATCCTTTGCTTGGGCCAACCGTTAGAACGTGTCATTGCTTGGAAATCACTGATGCATGCTCCTGCAAGATGAAAAATCTCGTGTCAAAGAAATTTTTTCCTACGAAGATTTCTTGGAACCCTCCATACAGAGACCATCATGGCGGGCTTTGGATGCATTGGAACATTGCAAGTGTGCTTGGCCTACCGTACTAACTAACTGGCTTGCTATCTAGCTAGCAGCCTGGATCCGAAAAAAGTACCCTCAACACCGACAACTTCCCCAAGGATCCGAGAGTCTTGAACTGCCATGTCGTCCTCTACAAGCTTCCCTATTGGCCCTCAATTGAATTATTGAATGAGCTCAGTGATTTCTCGAGGCCGGAAAGATAACCCGTGCATTGGAACATTTATTTGCGGGTGAAGATCTGGATGACAAAACTGGAAAGGTAGTTGAGGAAACTATTAAGGTCAAAGATAAACTTCACTTTGAAGTTGTGAATAAAAAATATATGTTACCACATCTACCTTGCTTCAAAAGCTGTCTCAGCCTCGACGCAAGGGCCACGATAGCACGCGCAGTACGTCAACACGTGGAGCAACTGTGCTTTCTGCTTCTTCCCTGTAAAGTAATGTACTAGAGCACCTACGTCACTGTGTGGCTGTGGTGAGTGCGTGGTCAACGCGCGGTCATTTGATTGCCTGCAATGACGCGTAGAAATGTAGGGCTGCCCAGTACTGTACTGGATCTGTTGAGAAAAGGCAGCCAACCGATGATAAAAAAACAATTCGGTTTTGGCTTCCCACAACTCAAAGACCCTTGTCTTTTTTTCCTTCACGGTAAGCT